ACCCCAACAATGCTGAACAGTTGAGCAGATGCTCGTTCTTGAAGAGACAATGACTGAGCGAGATGGCTTGAATGAGGTATTTGATAAGGAATGGGAGTTTGTGGTAAATTCTAAGAATGGCTGGAGTAAGTGAGAAAAGTGAAAACAAAAAATTGACAGTGAGAGGTGAGCAGCTGTTAATGAAACCTGGCCGAGTGTGGCCTGACTTTATTTATCACCTAATACAAGCGACCAGATGGGTTTTGTGTCCTTGTATCTTCTAGTGACGTCCAATCAGCATCCAACCCATTTAACACCACAGAGAGGGCTTATAGTCACACCAGATATCTTTGTTTAAGGACATTGGGATATATCCTTTAGTGATCTGCCATTTCAAAAGGGACAAAAGTGACCAATCCTTTCAAATGTAACCACAATGGGACGCCTCTCTCTGGCTCTCCTTTGTCATCCACTGTGTTCTGCCGGCGTTTAACCCTCTCTTCGTCTATGACACCCAAGACCTGTTAACCCCAGTGGACTCAAATACACAATGAGCCAGTGAGACGAGCACAGAGAACCTGGGTTTTACTGAGCTTAACAATATTTAGGGTTGTGATTGTCTGTTTGAATTCCACAACACAGTACACAGCTGCAGCTACACTGACAGGAGAGCTGGTGAGTCTGTGGGTGACTGAATGATGGTGTGGTCTAATACTTTTTGGAAATGCAACAAGGACCCAAGAAACTCTGGGCCTATATTAAAGTGCTGTTGTGTAAGTGTCTGTAAAAGAAAGGACCAGTATCCCCAGTCCACACTTTTTTTCTGATACTGACTATTACAGACTGTCTGTAAAAGTGAGATGCTCTGCGGTTCTGTTGTTTGGGATAGATGATGTCTTTGTAGCCACTATGGTCTGTCTCCTTAAATTCACACAGATGTAAGAAAAGCAGAGGTGCTACAATTCACTACTACTATTCAAGGCCAGCACACAGATACCAGAACCTCCATACAGGTACACAATATGCAGGAACAGGCACTTCCCTCAGAACCGCAATTACAGTCGGAGGTGTGGCACAGGATGTCATTTGTGAGTGGCTTAACTTAAGAATATCAACAACAGCCGAGGAAACATGACCTCAAGCTCTTCCACTGCTGTAATGTAGTATTATGTCATTATCTACTGTACGCTGTGAATGAAACTGTACTCTTCAGCCAGTATGATAACAGGTATCAGTCCATACAGCTTCATTAGCAGCCAGGCGGCAAGGATGCTTTTATCTGTAAACTGATCGAGGAGTGAGCAGCTTTCTATGCAGAAATCATTTATTGACTTTTAGATACAATAAGAGCTCAAATTAATTCACTGGCCTTTCACAGACATAACATGATGTTTATGTTACCATATTTTCAATATGAAAACCTTTATTTCACTGAATAAACAATGTAGAAAAGATGTGCATTTATTTTACCTGTTAAGAAATGTTTTTTTCTGAATTCAAGTTCTATATTGGGTTGTATTTGTGTTTTCTTCTCAGTTATGGTTGTTTATAAAAAAGTTGTTGGTCAAACTGTTAAATATCAAACCTCAATTACATTTTGTTGTTATAGTGACATATTAGGAATCATTGCCAATTGGTTTTATATTTATATCAGCTGATATATCTGTGTCTGAAGGCTCTAGATATAATATACACTGTGAGTCAAATAAAATAAGAGTCGTAATATTAAACCAGGTGACATATTACATCTTAGCATTGTTGGAGTCCAGAGTGGGGGAGAAGGTGGACAAGGATTGGGGAAATAATAATTATTATACATCTGTATCAATAAATGTATACAGAAAATGCTTGTGAGAATTATTTTGTGGTAGGACAACGATGACATAGATAAGAAAGAAGAAAAGTGCGGGGAGAAGACCCTGGCCCACATGTAGAGTCGACAAATGCTAAAGTGTGATGTCCACTGAATACCATTAACCAATGCATGGTTCCTGCCAACAATTGTGTGTATATGTACTATAATAGCTGGCTGTTTGTAAAGTCAGAAAGCAGCACCTGCTGAGGAAGCAGCTCGGCGGTTCCAATTTAGGCCCAGAGCCGTGAGGTTACTAAGCAACAGCAGAGCACATTCCTCCATCTTCCAGAATCATGTGTGCGGGGGTGTGTTTGAGTGTGAACATTAGTGTCCTGTCCAAGGGGAAGTAAGAAGGTGAAGTCTGGCAAAAGGGGAAATTTGCTCAGCGTTGTGATGAATTCTAATCGACTGTTTCGGTCCATGCATTTAAATCACTAGGAATACATATAAACAGTCTTTTCTCTTTTGTGTTGTGTTTGCACATGCCTGGAGGTGAAATGAGAGGTTTAGGGTCACTGGAGAGAACCCAGTGTTTAGCTGTAAATCTCACAGACAATCCACTCCAGTCTGTCTCAAAGAGAAGAGACATCCAAACATTGCTGCCAATAGTGCAAATAGTAGCCATGCACCTAAGACAACATGACATTTGTTCCTGACCAGACAAATATGCTCTTTACCAACAGCTACAGAAAATGTCACACGTAGTTTGACCCTCCAGCTCTAAAACACCCCCCCCAAAAAGATCTAAGCAAGGGTGAGACGCAATGAATATAATATTGTGACAATCCAGAGTAGAATTACCACAAACTATGAGATTGTGAAACAATGTCATCTGCTCCAGTAGAAGCAGATAACATCCACTGCATGTTTTCAGCTTGTTCTATTTGCAATGTCGTGAAAAAGTATGCCACTACCCACAATCATCAGGTGTAATGACATCTTCTCTGATTGGTGTAGCTTGCTGTTTCCATGGAAATGTTTACACAATCTCGTACCTTTACCTTTTTTTGGTAAAGGTGGTTGGATTGGTTCCAAACTTATAACAATATTTTCATGTGGATTTTCTGAAACATCAATGGAGAAAATGAATGTGAAATTTACTTCTGCAGCCAGAGCCGCTCTAAAAGTGGGGACAGGTCACTGTTCTGCTCTGTAAGTTTTGATTTTGAGTGGAAACCCACTGCTGCTTCAAGCTTTAACCTCAGCAACCTTAAGAGACGGTAGCTTATCTTGTGCTTATCTGTTCTCCAACAGACAATACAGAGGAAGTGAAGAGGGGTATCAGGAGGATGTGTGTGCATTGCTTATGTGATAGCATCACTTCTGCCCTTCGTCCAGAGGCTGCTGGGCTGAGGGGGGTGGGGGTGGGGGGTGGGTAGAAGGATAAAGGACCATATAGCTGTGGTCTTTCAAAACATGAACATCTGATCAGTGATCTACAGCCAGTATAACCCGAGCCTAAGGCGAAATAAAGGACCCCTGCCCCAGCTTAGAGCAAACAATCCAGTTTATTACTCACACAGATGGATGTTTGTGGCCCATTATGACACAGAGAGAAAGATCAGACACAACTCAAAGAGTCCAACCAGTCTCACAATGGGAGCTCCTTTCTTCTGAACAAGCATGTTTAGAAAAACCATCAATAATCTCCCCAAAATGTCCCAATTCACTTATTTGTTTGCAGCCTTGGTTACTGTTTAAACAGTTCCCAGTCTGTTTCTTCTTTTCAGAGCTTGTTTTCCACTGTCATTCCTCTGTGGCAGAGCTTGGCCTGTTTGCCAAAAAGAAATGCATGGGAATTAGAGCAGGAGTTGCTGAGACAGCCCCGAGACCTCCTCCTTTCTGCAAAAGCAACCATTAGAGAGGGAGAGAGAGAGGGCTGCTGGAAGACAAGTCAGCTAGAGGAGGGAGAAGCCGAGAGCTGAAAACTCTCTGTGTTTTTGTCTCTCCCCTGAAAAGCACAAAAAAACCCAAGGGACTGATGAGCAGCTTTCTGGCATGCCAAGAAAGGGTTTACCACAAAGTCAGCTGCATCAGCTGTTGGTTGCCTCACACAGGATGAATCCATTTGTCAAAGGAAGGACGTGAGCAACCATGAACGGCCCGGTGTCAAAGAATCAGTGGCCTCAGCCGTTTGTGCCTCACGTCACTCTGAAGCCACACTTTCATATGGGACACTGATAAACTGCTGAGGAAAATTGGACGCAGTGTGATACCACAGCGGGGGAGTGAGTCCCACCACTGATTGGAAAAACAGACACATCCTTTATCCGACTCCCCGGCCCAACTTGAACCGTCACTCTCAACATTCTTTCCATTCCCACGGGGTCGCAACTCGTCTGGTTTCCTCTGCAACTCATCCCTCCTCTCTTCTGAGCGGGAAGGTTCAAAAATTCAAACCAGCTCCCGCCCCAACCCTTCCACCTAAACTAGTATGGCCTGTTCACAGAGGAGCGGGTGTCTGGGCTGAACGACAAGATACCGTCTAACGTCCTCTGAACATATAAAGGTGCTGCTTTTAAAAGACAGCAGAACATGTAAATATATTTTTCTAAATCTGCTTATAGGACGGGTTTAAACACAATGAATGACTCAGATTTTCACTTCCTATACCGAACATGCACAGCAAAGCCTTTTAGAAAACACCCTATAACAATGTTTATATATGTACAGATGGCAGATCCACTTGATTAAGAAAATTATACAGCAGTCGGGGTTGGAGGCCTACACTCACTCTGAGTCAGACAGGAATGTCTTATCTTGAAGAAGGGGCTGTATAAATAAATAAAGGTGGCAGTGGAATGGGGGATACCCTTAGTACAGAGAGGGTGAGGAGGGGGAGCAGACTTCAGGGGCAGCACCCCCCCCCCCCCCCCCCCCCCCCCCCCCCCCCCCCCCCCCCCCCCCCCCTCCTCATCCTGCAGTGAATGACCTTGTAGGATGAGAGGCAACACTGCTGCTTTCTGACTGATGCTTGTCACATGTCTTATCAAGGATATTGATGTGAACATTCAAATAAACTACAGAATACAATATACTATAAAGTATTTACTGCAACAAACAGGCAAACACACAGAAAACTGACACAGGGAATATGGTTGATGTGTCAGAACTCTATATTCTGACTGATAATATGATTGAATCGTGATATTCTGTGTTCTCTGACCTCCTTCAGCTGGTCCAGCTCCTGCCTCACGGCCTCGTACTCCGTCTCCAGGTCGTCGTGCTGCTGTTTGAGCTGCTGCTTCTCCTCCAGCACCGCCAGCCCGTACTCCGCCGCCTGGATCTTCTCGTTCGTGGTCTCGCTCAGCTCCCGGGCGAGGCGCTCGATCTCGGCGCGCATCCACTCCGGCCCGGCCTCCAGCAGCAGCATCGCGTCGGGGTATCCCCGCTCCTCCACGGACATGGTCGGTAACCGGTAAGGGGGGTGTAGGCGAGGGATGCTGGGGCGTCTTCGAGCGGCGTAACCTTGAAGGAGAGGCGGCTGCTCAGATTCGTCGGTATTTGAACTGCATGATTGTTACGCTTGCGTTTCTCGTGGCCGCTCCAGTTTCTTTGGTCATGTAGGGGACTGAGGTTTCGTTTCTCCGACGGGGGAGCTCGCCGTCGTGTCTTTATCAGAGCTCCATAGCAGAGGTCCCGCGGCTGCTTCTCCTCTCCCCGGCTTGTCGGAGCGATAAAGCCGCAGAGGACCAACCGACCAGCACAGAGCTCCGGCACCACAGACAGGAAGTCACACTTCCGGGTTTGTAGTTTCAAAATAAAACGCTTGTCGACGTCAGGCCTCGAGTCACCTACTCAATGTTTATTCTGTGTGTATGATTTATTGAAATGATAATATATGTAGTAAAGGGATAATATGTAGAGCTAGTTAGTCAGTTAGGCTTTATATAGGACTCCAAATTGGTGTACAATAAAATAAAAAACTGATAATAAGCACAGAAAATATACAAATAGAAACGTCACACTTTACAAATGGTCTGGGTATAAAAAACACATCCAGGCAACATACTGTGTGAGTGAGTGAATGAGTTAGTTACGCTTTATATCAGACTCAGAGGTCCAGATTATTATTAAATGAAATGAAATGAAATACCTGATCAAATACAGCACAACAAATATAGAAATACAATTCAAAGTTATCATAAAAATAACCAGACTGGGTAAATGATGTGAGAGAGTAAATTGTGGTATTATAAAATGGACTTGGTAGTCAATTGAAATTACCTGCGACAACGTTTTCTATTCATAGGTGCTATTGCAAAAAGAAGCAAGGTGAAATAACATTTCATTATAGCGAGCCAAACTTTGACAGTTTCTTAAATAATCCTATGTTATATACTTAACATAATATGTCCTTTAATAATAAATGATCCTTTATTCATCCCACAATGGGGAGATTTTCTCTGTTGCAATATAATTG